CGTCTAGACTTACCTACTGTTATTTGTATACTGTAACTATGCCACACCTAGGGACACTTAATTAAGACAAATACAGCGTAAACTGTAACAAATATCCGGTCGTTAGTGCTGGTTGAATCAGATCCATCGCCTGATTCAGGGTAACTGCTGGATTTCTGCTTAAGATTGTTGTGCCTAGATACTGTAATATTTAAACCATTTACAAAAATAGTACTTAACTTATAGTTGGGACAGCCACTTGCTGCATTCGCTACGAAATGGTAGTTGTATTTAGCTCCTTTTCCTGCTTGAGTTTACCACCAACTTAACACTAAAATTGTGAAACAAGTAGATGTGTTAAAACACAAAATCCCGACTGTGGTAATTTTAAAGTAGTATTTTGCTGTAAAAATCCGCCATCTTTAATCTATAATTTTTTAATACAGCCCGTGTCACTCGCGCTGCTGAGACGAATCTAACAACATCTCATATGTTAAAATCCAACAATCCGTTTGGGCTGTAGCCCGTGAAAAAGAATTTTCTTGTCCACATACATACATACTCTCGAAAACATAACCCTCCTTCTGAGGCAGTCGGCTAAAAATAAAACTAAACAGTTGGAACGGTCACTTGCTGCATTCGCCGTGAAATGGCAGTTGTATTTAAATACCTACATTACAATCCTATTTTGAGCCAATCTAAACATGACAATTTGTTTTAATAAAATAATTCAAAACATTCAAAAGAAGGCCCACGAGGTTTGAGACAATGGGTGTAATTTGGCTCGGTTTCGCTTATTAATAATAATAAAACCGGTCCAATGTTAAGCGCGGCTCATCTCCGAATCTCCCCTAAATATTGTACAATGCAATTAGATGGGATAGAGAGGAAATTTTATTATGGATATGCGAAATTATAACAAGGTTACTTTTAATTAGGTACAAATATTTTAAAGGCATGTTGTGCTCATAAAACTGAACAAAATTCATAAGAAACTTTTCATCAAAGTATGAAAAACAAAATTGGATCACCCATAAGTGACGAACTACCAAAGAAAGGTTTCTAAGTTGTTTGAAACGTAAGTATGTACGAAATAGTCAGTTTTACATTACTATGAAAACGCCTGCGTAAACACGCTACGAAATGACTACGGCGTAGCAGGTTCTACGAAGATTTCGTCTGTATGATCTGCTGTAGCCACAAAAGTCTACAACTGGACATGATAGAGCTTATTTACTGTACATACTACGTACGATTGGCAGGTGGTTTGGCGAGCGCAATGCAAAGATGTTTAATGAGCATTAAATGCTATTGCTCATTTTTTGATGGCTTTATCACGCAGACGCTTTTTATGACACCCACAGGTATAAATAGTCTGATGCTATTTTGATCTGACAACGAAATACATAGTTTCTAGAGAAGTTATGAAAACATAAACTTTATGTCGTAAGAGGTAAGTACATTTTTCGTATATCCTTCGTAACGGCACATCACTATTCTTTCCACTATGATAACCAAAATCTGGTCTAAAATGATGGAGTTTAAGCACCGTATCTCACTTATTAAAAGCTTACACGCGTACATAAATACAAACCCTTTGAAGCCATTTCGAGGCTACGATGTGCCGGCTAAGTGTTGCTTCCAAAAATAGACACGGGTGATTTAATATGTATGAGGACGTTTAAGTAATTAGAAAACACTTTTTTAATTTGTTTAGAACCTAACTTGCTTATATATGTGCCTCAAGTTTTGATATAGGTTCTCATTTTAAGGTTTATCCTGCAGCGAGTAGCTATATTTATTGTTCATTAAATAATTTTACTTTAGTTTTGTGATGTACACCTTGAGAATATCAGTAGCTCCCAGTAAAATAAATTAAACGCAGATAACGCTAAATTATATCAATAAGACATAGATATCTGATAAACTCATAGATAAACTTTACTGGATTGGGCAAACTTCCTACAATTAGTTCCTTTATTTTAAAAAGTTTTGTAAACACTTCCTAAACCTAAGCGTATTGACAAAAAGTCTCTCTGTAAGGCAGCAAACTCAAGTTGAAGCAGAAGCTACCTAAGCCTAAGCCAAGTGCCAACTATTTGGTTCCTCAAATCTCCCTAAAAACCGTCTTAGCAAAAGTTACCCCCGGTCTACGAACAACACAATGGTGTCATCAGCAAACATCTGCCTTTAATTAATCTTTTGTCGTCACATAATGAATCGTGTTCCTCGTTGATTAATATTACGAGTTAATTTAGGGTCCGTTCTTCAAATTCTTGATTCAAAACATGAAGGGCAAGAATAGCATTAATTTTGAAAGTTATTTTGAAGTGGTTGTCTTAAGATTGTGTTTATTTATCATACAAGGCAAACATAATCAACCATAACAGCAACAGAAGTTCAATGCTAGACATGGGGCTTCCCCTGTCGGAAGGTATTGCCATACTTACCACGCTTGGCAGGCGGATTGACGAGCGCAGTGCAAGATGTTACATTTACCTACAGAAAACGCTGCTGCCCATTCCCAGGATGATTATCAGTCGCTTTTCACAACACCCACAGTGATATAATTGGGGTTATGCAACTCTTATTTTAGGGGCATCATACCTACTTATTTTATTTTAAATTGAACTTAATAATCCACAAGTTATAATATTTCCTAGTTGGTCATGAATATTCACGTAAATTAAATTACTATGCTCTATGTTCAATATTCCGCAAGTCGGAGCTTAAGGGTGCAGCGGCCAGCTTTTCGCGTAATCTCGTGACGGCAAAGAGTAGCCCTTAACAGACTGAACGTTCATACAAATATGACGAAATTTTTAATGAAAAATAAATTTACTGTAGCAATGTCCTAGAAATGGTAAATTAAAAAAATATGTTTAATGTTACGAAAAAAGAGTTTGTTTGTACAAGTTATTTTGTTTATTTTACCGATGTGTGCAGTGCAAAACAATGCTCTCTCCTTTTACTTAGTCCCTCTCTATCAAAATTAAAACCTCTGAAACCATCAGAGCGGGAGCAAAATTCCGCGCTGCTCAAAATCTGAAACCGAAGATCAGACTCAAAGAGTCAGCCAAACTACGAAAACAATTACCTAGTTTTGTTCCTTTCCACTGATGTACACTGAATATTGTCGTTAACAATAATAACCACTGTTGGACATGGGCCTCTTTCTACTATCATCTATCATACTAAAGGTTACTATAAAAACAGATTACAACGTTGTATCACCTCTACGTTTTCCACGTCGCGTTACTCTTTGCCTAAGACCCAAAGACCCGTACTATCAGCACGTAGATACCATAATTTATGCCCCTCTCATACATCCATACCAACATATGCACAACACACAATGTAACAACCTTAGAGTTTATATAAGCAAGCTATAGAGTGCGCCTAAAAAGTGAGAGTGGTTGGCAGAATTCTGCAAACAACCTCTGTGTCTATCAGTAGCAAAACGCCAGTGACAACACTTTTGAAGCTCTATAACTTCTCATACTTTTGATGTCTTTAACTTTTCGAAGGCCTCGCGATTACTTTTACACATAATAGTTACTTAATGGGTCTTATCGCGATAGTTTTTTAGGTAAATAAACTATTTACCTGGGAAACCCGACGTTTTAACTGAGTTTCATCAGTAATGGTCTCGGGCAGACTGATCGTGACTGAAGAAACTATTGAATCTCTATAAATTCTCAAAAATTTGACCTCTGTATCTAGGAAGCAATTGCTTACGTTTTGACAGTACGCGGGCCGATACGCGCACTCTACAGCTTGATAATATACACTCTAAGCTAACAACCCATACGGCGGGTATTATAGCCAATAACCCCGGGCTGTGGGCGCCCTTCCGGGATATTCACTAACTTGAGTCAATAGTTGAGACAAGACAAAGAAAATACGAGATAGGTGAAGGAAATACAATGTCATTGATGAATAGAATCGACATGCAAAGTTGACAAACTGGCCTAAAAATACCCTGTGTGTATAAGCTGGTTCAAAAGAGTGTTAGAAATTTTCTCGAAAACTAGCGGATTGGTCTATAGACTGTATCGAGAGATTTGTTTGTTCACATGGCGTTTATGTACGTTTTAAAAAAAATATGACTAAACGTCCGTCTTATATCTACAGTGTTGACGGAGTATGATTGATATTTCTATTTTGTACCTATGTTGAAACTGCAAGGAGGGGTCACTAGTCCATATTTTAAGTATCAAGATAAATGGAAGCTATGTGTCAATTAATTGCACACAAATCTTCACCTGTGGCGAGGCCCTCACGTGCATTACCTGCCATCTACATTATAATCTTCCTGATACATACTAAAAACCTACGTTAAAATAACGCAACGCAAGTTTCTGCGCTGCGATGTGCTAACGCAAGTTTCTGCGTTGTTTTATGACAGATACATAGCGTTGCACAAAAATAGCGCAGCAACAGACGTTACGCGTGGGCCTTGCCTACGGTCTCCGACTATCATTGAGCCAGCCTGCTTGTGTTTACGGATACTATACTAACCATTAAATTTTTGCCACAACTTACTTTCCAATGTTAGAAGGAAGCATGTGTACGGATCACATGGACCAGGTCAGTTCGTGCTCAGATATACTGAACATCAAATTTTTGCCGCATCTCGCTAGCGAGGTAATTTCCTGTTCAGCTGTGCAGTGCTGAGTCTATTAACATGACCGCTTTTACACCGTAGCGTAATACTGGCAAACTAGGGCAAAACATTAACAGCTTTCTGGCATAGTAAAATCTTGTTCTTTTTCTTTCTCATCTTCGTGTAGGATAACGAGTCGTCCAAATAAGCGATGAACCCAGGTTTCAGCGTTTTTAAAATGCCTACTACAACTAGCAGGAATGTAACATGGTTGTGTAACGATAGACAGCAACCGAGACCAAGGGCCTAATGAGCCTTTTGAGGAACGGAACCATTTTGCTTTTCGGACAAACAGATGGTTGAGCCTGCATTGACATCAACAAATTCACAAATTGTTAAATATGAACTTTGTGAATGACCCACCGGGAATTGAACCTGGAACTTTCTGCGCCGCAAGCAGTCACACTATCACTGCGCTACATCGGCTGTCACTGTTGTTCATGACAGTCATGGATAAGAAAAAATTGACGCCATTATTTTCCGACACCACATAAAAAAGCTTGATTACGCGTCAGTATGAGCTCAGTCCCTGGTCGAGCCTGTCCCAGATTTGGCCTCACCTCGAGTAAGTCAGAGTTGGTTACCGTCACGTTAAGCTTAGGCGGTTGAAGCTTAGTTGCTCAGAACACCAGCCAAACCTGGCACGATTTAGAAACCTAATTTGTAATGCAGGTAACTAGTAGGCGCTTGCAAAACTCCGCTTTGACACCAAGGTCAGGTCGTTTGTTGACTTGGTGCCCAACATGCAAGAAGAAGTAGATTGTACCTAGAGACACTAGTATAAGAATTTTTTATTTTTCTTCTACTTCTAGGTGCCAAGATAATCTCTTTGCTGTAACTAAAATGAAAAGTGAAACAAGTGTTTCCGTCTCTTAAAACTAAAACCAAAAGCAATAATTTGAAGGTTCATGACCTTAAAGTGCGTGGCTTTTCGAGTGGAACACCGAGTCATCTAACGACCTGATGAACCCTGGCAACAGAACATTTGATAAACATAACCTTGGTGAGGTAATTGTAGGCCATCTTCAGTATCTACATAGTATAGAATGAAGTCGCTTAGTTAAATGAAGAAGCAGTACGTTTAAACAATGTTACCGAAAATGAAATTAATTTATTTTCAAGCGGTCCATTAGTGAAGTGTCAGTAAATGGTTGGGGTCGGAAAGGTTCTATCAGCTGTTGTTTGTTGACCCATGTTTCTCAGAATACATTTTAAACGCGTTCATTAAGTGCTAAAGAGTAATGGACGAAAGCCACAGTAGGTTAATAATAACAGTATAGCCTTAATTTTCATCACCATCATCCATTCACAATTGCGAAAAATGCGCATAAAATAGGGTTTCTCTGCTCTAGAATTTGTAGACTGCAATTTTGGGTCAACTACAAAGGCTGGCAGCCTTACCTTACCTACCTACAACATAAGAGATACCTATTTGGATTCCTTTTTGGAAGGCTTTGACTTACAACATCAAGGCCAGTAGTAAAAAGGTCAGCTCCCACTTGTAACATAAGAATAAATAATAACACCTTCTAACTAGAATTAGGCCATGCAGCCGCATGCAATTTACAGGTTCTGACCCCCATTCACTATCTTTTCTAGTAGCTATAAATATACCTAAGCCTTAATAAAAAAAAAAACTTTTACGAAATCATAAGAAAATTTCCATAAAGTTTTTAAATGTCGGCCCACATGCGGAGTAAAGTATGTCTACTGAGATTATGAATTATTTCTCTTACTGTGCCAAAAGGTTTAGCAAAGGGCGCTGGTATTGTACTACTGAGTAATTGTTAGCCAACCTTCAAACTTTGAAGATCGGAAGGATGGAGGTGGTTTTCGTTGTTTTCGAGGTCGCGGTTGAGTGTTGTTAGACTTTTTTAACGTTTTTACCGTATGGTGCCGGCTTAGGATAGCATCACCCCATTTCTTTCCCGTGGGTGTCGTAAGAAGTGACTAAAGAATTTAAAAGTGAGAAGTTGGTTATTGCAATTTTAGGCGACAGGCTGACCATTATTTACTATGGTGATACACAGTCTTCTGAATGTCTCTCAAACTTTGTCAGACGTAGTGTAAATGACCGATTTTCACAGCCGTTTACGCTCTGCCTACCCCGCAATAAATATAGGCGTTATATTATGTATGTAGGTCAAAATGAAGGGCTGAAGGTGCACCGGAAATAGCCCTTAAGAATGTTCCATCTAATTTCCTCGACGCCCTGTACCTGACACACGGATATGGGGTCTCAGCCGTTGGTCTCAGCCCTATATCTACATCAACAGCTGTAGGTTAAGGTGCGAAATAGAGGGTTAACAGAATGATCACTCGACCTTATTTAGGATTTTTGCGATTGTCACTTGTTCTATAGCCAGGGTTGCTAGATTCAGTGCGAGGACAAAGTACAGAAATGTGATAGAACAACGTAATATGAATCTGAGTTCATTTAAATGCAAGAATGAAGAAATGTTACGGTCTTGGCAACTATCTTCTTATTTTCCTTGAGTTTCTTTGAGCTTCATTTAATTCCAGTAAACATCAGAATGCGTCAAAATTGTCGCTAGTACTTAGTAAGCCATTTGTAAGTACGCCTCGCGTGCGGTCTCTTTTGTGGTTTAGGCAAACATCAAATTTTGTATCTTTTAGTCGCTTTTTACGACACAAAAGATGGGGATTGATGCTATTTAAAGCCAGCACCACACAGCACTATTAAAATATAAAAGGATTTTACAATCAAATAAATTGCATCATCAGTGGCGTTTTATGGCATAGCGCATTGCCTGCCCCACAAGGGACAAAGGCATGTTAATGTGTGTATGTATAGAAACCGTTACGATACAAAAACAATCTAATAATAACATTTCCCATTTCCGCGAAATACAGAAACAGAAACACCATCAAGAGAAAAACATTATTAATATCTCGGGTGGAACTGTCTCAGATATCGATGTGGGGTAAATGATTTGGAAATACAGGAGGAAATAATAACGGGTGACGGAGTGTTGTGGACGGTACGAGAGGGTTATTTTACGTTTTGCGTTTGTGACAAATCTATAGGGTCGAGCTCTACAGAAAAGCCGCGACGTGCAACATGACATGTGTCAGACAAGCGATCGTCAGCCGTTATAGACGGGACGCGCGTCTCACGAACGTAGCTTTGTTTATTCTGATTCTTACATTTTATATGGAAATTGTTTCAAGCGTCGCGATGTTGCCCGTCTTACGTCTCCAACGATCACTTGTTTGACAGTTGCTATCTTTCACCTCACATTTCACGTCTACTCTGCAGAGCATGCGCTATAAGTACAACGCAAAAATCATGTATAGGGAGTGACGGAAAGGGTATTACAAGCCGAAAGAAGGTGAAGGTACTCATGAAACTGAACAACTTTTCCAATGGAACGTAGGTCGAAATATGAAAGAAAAATTGGATTGGATTAAATCAGTCAGCCGATCGGCGATTTTGTATGGGTGGCCCAAATTTTTTATTTCATTTGATTACTCCCAGTATAATTGAAACTTGCATTAATATGTCGTAGGCATATAGCCATCTTATCAGTTTGTTTACCTATTAATATAGTTAAGCGGTAAATTGGCTTGTTAGTATTTCCCCCGTTAATACATGTATCGCTCTCCCCTTCGTGGGTGTCTGTAAAAACTCCCTTTTTTCAATGTTCCCTCTGTCTTATCAATAAATCATAGGTTATCTATCGCCATGATGGCCAAGAGATACGCTCGTAATTAAATAAAGGCGAAATGACAAGGGTCGCGCGGCCGAGACAAGCCGCTGTCAAAAACTATACGTGTCTCTTCCTCGGTGGCAGGGCTGGCAACCTTGTGGGGGAAAATGACTGTGAGGATATTCGATTGTTATTGATTTCGTCAATAGCAGGTTATTGCCACAAAATTGAGAGTTTACAAAAGAATCGCTCGACCCTATTAAGAATGGCAAGAACTATGGCTTTTGTGACAACTACTTGTTAGTTACCTTGAATATCCTCTGAGAATCCAGTTTATTCCAGTGAACGTCAGTAAGAGTCAAAATCTTTGCTAGTACTGAGTGAGTCATCTGTAAAGGCGCCTAACATACTAGAGGTACAGCCTACACGGATTTCTTTCCATGTTTCTTTTTAACATACCCACATAAAATTCAAATCCCGACGTAAATGTTTGGACCTTTTGTATGACAAATTCATACGTTAATTAATTATGTTGCCTTTTTAGGTAAACAATGGTCTTAAAATTTAGCAAAACAGTACTTGTTCCATTGTTGTTCAAATCAAAACACAACTTTTTCTTCCTTCACAACACACAATGGCCACAATCCGATAAAAATAAAACTAAGAAAAGCGTTGGGCCACAGTAGACGTGAAAATGAGCATGCGTCTGAAATGAGTGGTTTTAAAGTTCCCAACGCATATTCTGGAACTAAGTATGTGATTTGGGGATTATGGAATCGTATCTAAATTGTTGTTGACAAAATATTGATTTTCGTTTTGGATGGCATTCATATAATTGAAGTGACATTGATCTACGCTACGTTTAGGCGAGAAACACGCAACGTCCGATTGTGCGTCATTCATTCGATTCTCTACCCTGTTCATACGAATATACGGTTTATGTCAAACGGCATAGCACAACGCTGCGTCGACATAAGCGCCTGTCAAACCGTTTGACATAAACCGTATTCGTATAAAAATAAGGTGGAAAAACGAACAAACGACGCACAAACTGAGGTTATCGTGTATTTCTCGCCTTAGACTTCAGATCTGGCTACTTCCTGTTTTTTCACCTACTATGTCTTAACCTTCCTCAGTGACGTCACTATTGGAAACCACAAAGGGGTCTCAACAATTGGAATTCTAATTAAAACGAACCTTTTAATTTTCGCCGATCCGCAGCACGTTCCAGGCATTTGCATGAAAAAAACCTCGGCCCTGAAAGGGTTTTTCAAAGTTTCAAGTAGGTATTTGATGGACTTTTGCGTAGTTTCAAATAATATGAACAAATCTTTTAGCATTCTTCTTCGTTCTTCTTGTAGTTTACGTAAGAACGTTCGTAGTAAAACTTAATATTATTATGTCATGGCTTCTTGAATAAGTTTTGTTGGTTCATTTGAACAGAAAAAGAAATTTAAAATTTGATGTGATTATACAATTTGGTTTGACATAATTCAATCTTTTCGGGCCTTCGTTATCTACGAATGTTGTTTCAAGAGTCTGGGTCATTTTGTAAGTGTCCAAATGTTTCTTTTCCTTAATAAAGTTGTTCGTTACAGATTGATTCACCCTTTGAAAATTCATAACATCCTTTGTACCGTAAAATAATTCCCGTCACGTCCGTTGGCAGCACCGACAACCAGCAGGCTCGCGGATCTCGACCAGCAATAAATCAAGCAAGTTCGGACAGCGCGACCGACCCGCGTCAAACTA